AAGGCTCCCAAAAGCCCAGAATTAAAGAATAGTTACCTATGGTTCCACTGGTAAAATAATTTTGACAAAGTCTTTCCTTCTGCCTGTACTATTAAATTTTCTTACTGGCAAGTATAAGGAAATGCAGAATCTCCCACTGAGTCCTGGGAAGATATAAACTGGAGTGGAACAGAGGATCAGAACTCAGAGGTGTTTGTAAAATTGGTAGAGTGGCAAAGACAGGATGTAAATCAGCAGTTTATACCTGGAAGCAGAGAGCAGAATCCAGTAAAGAAAGGGCAGGCAGGGAGCAACAGGTCTGGCAACAATCCTGCAGACAAGAATCTAGAACTGTAGTGGCTCACAAGTGAGTGTTGTTCAAAAATACTCTTCCACTGTGAAAAAGGAGGGTGTTACATACAAATATAAAAACAGGAGTATGATCTGTAAGGTGATGTGAAATAGAACTCAGCAGAATAAGGACATCTGTGCAAAAAAATAAAGTATACTTGGTTTCTTTAAAAACTTTCTATGTACACAGAGGTTTCAACAATGTTTGTTCAGAGCATTTGCTTGGACCTTGCAGACACAAAGTCTAAGACATTGAGTTTGGATAAAACTATACATTTCTATACACCTGAAAGATATATATGATTTCAAAATAAAACAGGACTGAATTAAGTCCCAGACACCACATTTTGGTTTTCACACCAATCAGATCCAGCAACAACAGAAAATACAGCTGCTTTCTTTTTTTCCCACTTTTCAATAAGGTTATGTTGAAATAACTGTACAGTAGTTGGGCTTACCCAGGAGAGTAAAATAACATCTCTTTTCCCCTAGGAGTTTACTATGTAAATGAATACAGCCTTTTATAAAGAAGTGCTTCTCTGGATGTTGCAATATTAATTACTCCTGGGAATAAAAAAAGTAAGCAACATAATGGGAAGCACAGAGGAATGGCATAAAACCATAAATAAATCAAGCATGAAAAATTACATTGTAAATTCATTGGCATCTTGCTACTTCAGTGTTTTCCGAAAAATAGTGCAGGAAAGCAATCAGAATGACAAACAGAAGCATAACATTCTTAATTCATTATTCTGTCACTGCTAGATGCAAAACATCTGGAAGATCCTAGAAAACTCTTTCTCTTCCAAACTCCAATGACTCCAAGGGAAAAAATCTGAAGGATTCTGAAAGAGCAATTAATTGTTCTAATTCCCCCATCAGTGGTGATTGCATGTGTCTCAGTATTTAAAGTGCGTTGGGAGTAGTGCTGCTGTCTGAAGCAGGAACTACTAGAAATGGAGGACAGAATGGAAATTACTCAGAAGAGGGGGGGAAGGAAAAAGAGCAAAATGGAGAGCGAAATTGTTGTGAGAGATGTGGACCTGAGGAAAGGAAGAGTGGAAGAGTGATGAAAGAAACATTTGGGCAAGAAGATGAGATAGGAGAGGACAGGAAGAAAAATGGGAAATGACTCAAATGAAAACTCAAAAGAAGGAATAATGAGAGAAAAATTATTGTTCCCACTGACCAGTTTCAGATAGAGTGTAGTGTATTTCAAACTGAAGGATGCATCTGAAGAGAAGATGGTGACTCTGGTTTTAAAGGTGGAAAAGGAACTAAGGCTACATCTGCTCCCTTTGATAATGTAATATTTCAACTCAATCCCAAGGCAATGTCAGGAGTCATTCACTCCTGAGGACTTTGATTCACTTGTGTGCTCTCCTTTGGAGCTAACTGATAGCTGCCCCTAGGAAGAAGCCAGGGCATGGCCTCGGAGGATCCATGACCATCATGATGAGGCTGCGCCACCATCCTCCACAGGCACTCCTCCAAAACAGGGACAGCTCACCATGCCACTACACAGAATCCTTTGCCACCAAGCATGCAGCACAGTCCCACTGCACAGTGCCATCGAAATACCGTTTGAAAGGGCTACTGTGTTTATTTCAAGCATTTTGAACTAAACAAATACGAACAATAGTTATTATGATTTAAGGGGCCACTGTATGGTGCCACACAGAAGACCCGGGCAAGCACACCATGGTGTGGATGCCCCCAGAGAGCAAATGAGGCTGCAGCAATGTGATCACAACTTGTTCTGCGCCCGGCAGCCACAGGTCAGTCCTCTACACTGCTGCCTTCTGTGAGTTAGAGCTATGGTGCCATGGGAAGAAGAAAAATCAGGCAGCAACCTCCTAACTCCTGAAGTAAGGTGAGGATTGCTTTCACCTGGGGTGAGCTGGGGTGAGTCCTGAATGCTGGATGTTTCCCTCTATTCTTAATCCAATGGCAGACATCTGTAACAGCAGCTGCAATCCGAAAAAGAACATTTTAGGATCACACCCAGAACAATAGGAAACAATGGGCTTTGGCCAACTGCCCCGCAACACACCCTTGATGCGGTAATACTAAAGTCACCCATGGCAAGGTGCTCCATTATGAAATATGACATAAACATCTTCCATTAAATTATTTTCTATGGTCATTCTCTGCTTCTGATTTGATTATGTTTTCATTGCTTACCTCATGCATGAATTACGTTCTGAGTTAATTTTCTGTGGGGAAACTCAATAATTTCAGGATCTTCTAAGAGGTTTTAATGGAGAAAACACATGAATATTAACGGAATACCATGAAAAGTAAAAAAGATGCAGAGGTAATGTAGATCAATGCTTTACTATATTTCCAGGGAGGAAAAGATGGATCCTTTCCCAACAGAAGTAACTATTTCCTATGACTACTAGAAATGTAATAAAGTATCAATCTGCAAATGAATAATTATAAAAGCTGCTTTGCTTTTTTCTTTCATGTGGAGAAGGAACAGGTAATGACACTGAACTTGAAATAAGCTACACTGCATTCTTTCGTAGTAATAATGATTCTTCCTTTGATCAGAACCATGTCCAAAGTTAACAACTGTTCATAGAACTCTTGAGACCTTTACTTCAACAGGTTGCTTGGTGAACTGACGCGTGGATTTACCACAAACTTTGTGTCTCACATACTTTGCTCTTTATTCTCTTGAGCTGGCAGAAAAAAAGAAGCGAATCTTGCAGATAGCAGGAGTTTCCCCATCCCAGATTCCATTAGTCCTTGCTATAAACTTGAGCGGGCGAGCAGAACACTAAAAGCATCTGTGCTTCATGAGTCACACCAATATAACCGGTGTGTGCATGAACACCATCAGTGCACATGAATCCATCAGTAGTCTTTCCAGGACTGTGCAATACTGATTGATAAATCAGTAAAATTTATTTATAAAAGTGAAGGTTATAAACTTCCGGACAGTGACAGTTACGCTGCTCAGAAATGGTCTGGGGCCTCTGGGGCTGTTGCTGTACCTTGGCAGCCCTGGGGAAAGCTGCACACAGACCTTCCAGATAATGCTTTCTCTAGCTGTAGAGCCACTCCTTGCCTGTAGAATATTTCCAGTGAGTCTGTGCTGCCTTCCAAGTGGGGAAGTGCTGAAGACTAAAGACAGCTTAGGAAAAGGACGGGAGATTTCAAGTAGATACTAGAAAGAAGTTCTTTACTGTGAGGGTGGGGAGGCACTGGAATGTGTTGCCCAGAGAAGTTGTGGCTGCCCCATCCCTGGCAGTGTTCAAGGCCAGGTGGGACACAGCTTTGGAAGCAACCTGGTCTACTGGGAGGTGTCCATGCCCATGGAAGGGGCTTGGAACTAGATGATTTTTAGGTTCTTTCCAACCCAAACTGCTCAGAAACTGTGGTTCTCTATGATTCTATGATTCTTTGTAGTATCTGTCTACAGAGATGGCTACCCACTTTGCATTACTGATAATATGAGGAAGAAATCACATTGGCCTCCAATGTCCTGTGTAATAGAACAGGTGGACAGCTAAAGAAGGAGGTGAATGGTGCAGTGGGGATCTAGATGAAGCTGTGTTTTGGAAATTAGTTGCCCACTTTCCATTCTACCAGAGGGAGGCTGCAGATGTAGTTTGAAGAACACATTTTCAGTGCCACTTACGCCTTAAACATTTACCACTTCAGCTGCGAATACACTGAGCTCTGCCCAACCCTTACGACTCACCAGACACAAGCATTTGTGACGCCAACAGGAGAACAGAGTTTACTTTCTGCTGTATTTTTGTTGTGTGTTTTTTTTTTTTGTTGTTGTTGTTGTTGTTGTTTTTGGTTGGCTCATTGGGTTTTGTTTTTGGGGTTGCTTTTTTATTTTTGGTGGGGGGAAGGGAGAGTAGAGGTGCTACCTTTCAGCTGGATCTATTGTGTCCAGGTGCACTTGTGCAGCTGCTGGTGTCAGCACTGCTCAGGGAAGCAGCAGGGGTGGGAGCCCACAGTCAGGCATGGGGCCAGGACAGTAACATGAGCAATTAACCTGGTCTGGGCACTCCACTGCAACCCAATGGGGAACCTCAGTGTGAGCCTTTCAAGCTGCTAGCACGACAAGGGAAGCTGGCTGGAAAGATCACACCAAGTACAATGAGAGAACGCTTCAACATTTTATTACATTTCGACTTTCTGGTGTATTTCCCAGGAATGGCTATCTCTTAAATTAAAAGGAAGCGTTTTAACACTTCAGTTACTTTATGCATATAAAAACCAGTCAGGGAACTCTCTCGCAAGGACCAACTGATACCTATCAGAGCAGGAAATACCTGTGTCACAGCTCCAAGCCATGGCCACCCGAGGCAGTACCTACAGCTGGGGAGGGTGGCACGGCTGGGGGAAGCAATGACATGCCCAGTTTTCGTGTCAGGCTGGCCAAGATCAGCATGAATCCAGCTAAGGTGTCTAGACTCCACGGTTTCTGAACAAATTAAGTATTTTCACAGTTAACGCCCGGCTCACACACTCGCCAAAGCCGTCACCCAGGGCTCCCGAGCTGGAATAGATCATGACCCGGCCCGATACCGGGCAAGGCAGCACCACAGCACTCCCCCAACCCTCCCTTCCTCCATCTCCGACCTCCGCACATGCGCACAGCGGCGGAGGCACGTAGGCGAGCGACTCCCGGCAGCCCCTTCGGGAAGTGCTGGGCCTGGGAGGAGCGGGCGGCTGAAGGAGAGTCGGGGACGGGGGCAGCGGCAAGGTAACAACGCCTGTCCCCGCTCCATGCGCAAGATGTTGTTGGCCGTGCTCTCCCGGGTGCTGCAAAGTCCGGCGGCTGCTGCTGCCGCCGCCGGAAAACCGGTGAGTTTGGTCATTACCTGCCCGGCCGGAACGCAGGAGGCCAACGGGCGCTGGCGCGCGTCCCTCTACATAGGGGGTAGGCAAGGCCCGGGGAGCGGAATGCCGGTGCTGCCTCTGCCGTCAGTGGGGGGAGGTGTGGGTCGTGCTGGGGTACGACGAGGACGGGCCATGGCCGGTAGGCCCGGCTGCCGCGGCGGGACCGTGGGTCTGCCCTTGCAAAATAGCCCGGGTGTAACGGCGAAAATTAAAGCGGGTAGAAGAATTTTTAAAAATGCTTATAATTTGGTTTAGATTTGTGCTTTTTTTTTTTATTGTTTTTTACTGTGTACTGTGTGTAAAATACCGCCTGAAAATAAAATGGTTGCTGCGTGCAGGAGCTGGCTTGATCAGTGCATCCGATAAACGCGTGTGTGTGAGGCAGGGACCCGCACAGGGCCGTCGCTTCTTCCCGACGTGCCAATTTCTGGCAGCCGTGGCCCTGGAGGCGCGGCTGGTGGTGGTACAGGAGGGCAGAGGACGGGTTACCCTGCCCAGGGCCTCTGTCAGCACTCGCTGTAACCTTAGACCTTAAACTAGCGATAGTGTGTGTGCCTTTAGCATAGTAGAATAAACCAGACTATTCTAATTTACTAACACATAGATAGAAAGGAACGTTGGGTTAGTGGGGGAAGGAACATCATGGGACTGATAACAACTTAGAAAGACAGTAAGTAAGACTAAGGATGCTAGTCTTCAAGATAACAGAACGGTGCCCAGCGTGGAGCAAGACTGGAATAGAACAGAAGCAAGGACATACAAGCTGCTAACTAGTACCTTGCAAGCATGTGCAAGCACTGAGGTCATTCAGTAAACACAGTGAGGAAGACTATGGACAGCCACCAAAGACAGCCCCTCAGCAAGAAAGTGCATGTGTAATTAGGATGCAAATATTATAATTAATTCCCAGGAAAACTATGAATATGCATGAGCATGCTAAATATATAGCCACTGTCTGCAAGTATTGGGTGCACTCACCTTTGCGAAATGATTTACATGTGAGCCCAGTACTGCAGTAAAGAAGGCCTGCTTTCTAAAGCTTCAAATTGAGTCTTAGGGAATTTCTGTGATTGACTTTTAGGGTAGCAGTGCCCTGTGATCTCTTTGCTATTTATTTTTTGTATCTGTATAACATGTTTTGATTTGTTTCTGAAACCCTTTTCTGACCTCTTGGCTTTGATTTGTTTTATCTATATATATTTTGACTATCAGCACAGGTTAGATCCTAAACAGGCAGTAAACATATTCTTCTTGTTCCATTTGAAATTCATCCATCTGACCTTTTGAGCTGCTTCACCTTTCTTTGCTCAAACAACATTCCCTTTTCATATCTCCCTGCTTTTTTTTTTTTTTCCATGTTTTGGTTGATTGGTTTGTTTTTTCATTAGTGAGTCATTTCCGGTGTTTTAACTCTTGTGTATGAAAAAATCATACTTTTACATCTTCATTCTCCTTATTCCATTATAATGACTGTGGTCATGAGGAAAAATTAACCCCGCTGAAAAAAAAAAAAGTTGTCAAGATCCAGTCAGTGTGAAAGAGTACTATTTGGTAATTGGAAGTAGCTCACTTTTTGCCCTGGAGAGCAAGTCTGTCGCTGCATCTCTGTTCTGAAGTAGCTCACTTACCTGAGCATTAAGTTCTTGTGGAAAAGCAGCTAGGTGACTGGATTTGTGAGAATCAAACATGAGAGCAGATTTACCAGATGTTCCTGTGTCTGTTGGGACTATGGATCTAAAAGTTTTCCTTTTTTTTACTTCTTTCTTCCAAATGCTGCTAACCTAGGGAGCCGTTAGTGAGGTAAGGCCTAAGTCAGTCTTAAAAAGGTTCAGTTTTGATATGTGCACTGGCCATGTATTTAGAACTTTTGTACAGCCTCGTCAGTGTTGCTTTTATGTTGTATTCAGGGCAAGGGGGTTCTGGCTCATCTATAGATCTGTCCTTCCAATCTCAGCCCTTCTGTGCTTTTGGGAATCCCAAACTCTTGATTTACTTCCAGCTGTAGAAGTAAAAGAGATTTTCTTCACTGATAATACTGACACTTTGGGGTAAACAGTGTAGAAACTTGGTATAAATTTAAAACTTAATCTGATAAAGAGGTTGGTCCTGACTTCTAAATCAAATATGCAACCAAGTAGGTAACCAAGAGGGATTGAGAAATGCCTCTTGGCTTTTTTCCAAGCCTCACAGCTATCAGTCAGACCTTTTTTTGGAAACTGACCTGGACATTCTCAAAGTATCACAATAACCAACCTTCAGCTTAATGTGTGTGAATTGCATCATAAAAGAAGCTACTGAAAATTGTGTGTAACTCCATGAGCAACACAGTTTTGCTGGTAAAGGTGTAGTGCATTCCTTATGGTGTGGCCACAGTGCATGCACAGACAGATGAACATCCTGTGCAGTGCTGCAGTGAAACATACTGAAGTAATTTAGAAATACCAGATATTCATAAGTCAGTGACCTGTGTTCATTCTTTAGGACAGAACAGTAGTAGATTTTTAAATATCCTTTGTACCTCCCCACTGCTGTGTCACACTTCATGTTGTTCTGTATTTCATGTCTCCTCAGGTATGTCACCTTTTATGTTTCTATATAATTTTTAAGTAGTAGCCATGCTGTTACCCACTGAAGCAATATTCCCCTTCATTGTCACTGCCTTGCATCCCCCCAGCTGGGGGGGGGGGGGGGGAGGAAGGGTGGGAGTGATTTGTTTTTCCAAATAATTTTTTATTCTGTTGAGACAAAATTCCAGTCAGCGCTGAGAGCCGTCAAAATCTGCATTGGTTGTCTCTACTCATGCAAGCAATCTGGCATGTGAAGGGAAAAGTAATCATTTTTCTGGGTTGATGATCTTCACAGTCTTTTGAAACTAAATGTTTTCATTTTAGATCTGGTGAGTTTAATTCACAAGATATTTCAGTTTGGGAGTACTGTTAGAAATTATTTGAGAATTTGCTTTTGCTTGATAAACATATTTAAATATTGTTCATGTGTGCTTTGTGTTTTTTTTGTTGGTTTTGTTTTTAAGGCCTCTCGAGTGATGGTAGCATCACGTAACTATGCAGACTTTGCAAATGAAGCTACATTTGAAATTAAGGTAAAGAAGCTGAACATTTAATACCGGAATTGTGACTGTGTGTGTTGTAGATCCTAACGTGATGGACTTGGCCCCTTTTTCAATTACAAAGCTACTGTTTGAATTTCCAGACCAAACTCCTTGCTGTCTGGCTTGATTTCTAAATGCAGCTGGAGCTGCCTTGCTTTGCTGTATGTAGTAACATTAGTTGTTTCTTAAGAATGTGGTACTTTGCAGCTGTGAGAGTTCAATGCAGCTGTGAGCATGGAGTCACAAAGGTGCCTAAGAACCTTTTCTAAGGGAAGAGTACTGATGTTTCTCTACTTGTTTTAAAATCTGCATCCCAGATGTGCAGCTGATTGAGGTCTGTATGGATTTTTGAGGAAATCGTACAGGACCCATTTTTAGTGATTAACTTGGTGCTGTCCAAAAAGTATGTTTGTTCTATTCTGTCACCTTCTGCTGTGGCTAGTATGTAGAAAAAAAAGTGATGCTCCTATTGGCAGTAGTAGCTTTTGTGATTCAGGAATTAATAAAAGAAAATCTGGAAGAAGTTCTTTAAATTTCCTTCGATCTGCTGAGTTTCTGTGCCTGTAAAGTACTGAAATTGTTGCACAGGTGGAAGGGAGGGAAAAGAAGTTGATATGAAAAGTCTTTTCTCAGTAGATACAAGGTTTAATGTTTGAAGTTGTACAGACTCCTACATTTCTTGAGTAGCGTTCTTGAGTGGTGTGCTCATGTGTTATATCCAGTTCCCCTAGGTGCCAGCAGATTTGCTCTGGTGGGACTTTTGCTTTAATGTAAGCTATCTTTGTCCAACGTAGCAGTGTTTTGTCCCTTTAATTGCATGGATGGAGTAATTTGTTTGAATTGTTCCACCGAGCTTGACTGCTTTATAATTCTTTAAATTTCATTTATTCTGTATGGGTGCCTAAAGTGAGACCTCCCTCAGTGCAGTCCGTCGTCTAGGAGTGAAGTTGTGCCATACACGTGGTGGTTTGACTGGCAGGGGGGCTGGTGCAGCTGCGGTTTGTTACCGCTTGGTGCGGGTGGTGGTAGAAGAGATGAAGTCCTGTCTTAGAGCCAGATCTTACAAACTGATTCACAAAGGAAACTATATCATGTCTTCACTAAGCCTCTGTAGCTCTTACCAAGTATTTAGCCTGCAGCAACCATGGAAACATGCCTTTCCCAAGTTTTGTGAGGGCTGTATTTCATCTCCTGATAGTAGGAACTACGAGACTTCATTTTGTGAGTGGAAATCTGCCTTTAGTAGAACTAAAGTTTTTATTTCCCTAAATTTGGAAATAGCACACAAACCTTATGCTTATTTTGACCTATGAATTCAAGTTTTGCTGGCTTTCCCTTTTTTTAAAGCCTATTACACTGTATTTGAAAATAGGACATTGTAAAAACTATGTGATACTCGTAAATAGGACAGATTACTTTCAAGAAATAATTACATGTTCAACTTTGCAGAAATGTGACCTTCATCGCCTAGAAGAAGGCCCCGGTACCACCACAGTGATGACTCGAGAGGAGGGGCTCCACTACTACAAGACAATGCAGTCCATCCGACGCATGGAGCTGAAGGCTGACCAGCTGTACAAGCAGAAGATTATTCGTGGCTTCTGCCACTTGTACGATGGCCAGGTAAGAGTACCTTTTTTTTCCCCAGGGATTTTTTATTGTCTTACCTTACTTAATGTAGGGATTTGACTAGAGTGGAGAATAAATCTAGATGTGCAGTGTCTGAAGTAGTAGTTGGATTCATGAGGTAGTTCATTGTTTCTTGAAAAACAATGTCTTGGCACACAGGGGAATGCCTGAAATCTTGGGATAGCAATAGGAAGAGAGAGACGGCAAGGTGCATCTGAAGATCAGCTGAATGAGAGGAATGAGCAACTGCAGCATAGTAAAATCAGTGCATTTGGAGGCTCACATCCTTGTCCTCAAGCAGTGTCTGGTAGATCGTGTGGCCACTGTAAAACAACAGCCAGTTAGTACTGCTGTTTCGATGTATGGGGGGAGTCATAGCTAGCCCTGGCCACACTGCTGGCTGTGGATGTTTGCTTTTCTTCACTGCTAAATTGACTTTTTTTTTTTTGTTGTAACAGGAGGCTTGCTGCGTAGGGATTGAAGCTGCCATAAAGCCTACAGACCATGTGATAACAGCTTACAGGGCTCATGGCTTTACCTATACACGAGGAGTGCCTATTCGAGAAATTCTCACTGAACTTACAGGTTTGTGCTCAGTAAAAGGAGAAGGATTTGCATGCTGCTGTACTTGTGGCAGAATGTGTTAGTACAATCGAAAATGATGTTGATGCACAATGTCTGCTGAGGCATCAGAAGCAGTTTAGTTTTAATTTTACAGTGTTATGATGCAACCACGTTTTACTATAAGACTTAAGTCCTAAGGAATATTTAAGTGCTTGCAGTTCAAAAGCACAAACTCAGAGGACTTCTCTTGATAGCATATGTTGTATTTATTGTGTTGCAGAGACTTGAACGTAGGTAGAGCACTGAAACTTCTTGGTTGCTTGTAAAAGTTCTTCTTAATCTCATTCTGTATTTCCTGAATTAGGTTTCCTTTACTTTTCTCTTTCACCCTTGTATTTGTTTTATGATATATTTAAGTGTAAACACTTCGGGGAATGGCTGTTGTTTCTTAAATCCACATAGATGTAATGATAACAACTTGGTCTTACTGTTAGTGCCTTTAGGAACTGAATTAGATATTCCCATTTGCATAGGATTTTTCCTTTGGAAAAGTACATTGCTTGTTATTCATGTTACAGGGCGAAAAGGAGGATGTGCAAAGGGAAAAGGAGGATCAATGCATATGTACACCAAAAACTTCTATGGTGGAAATGGAATTGTTGGTGCTCAGGTATATACATGACTTCTGCTTCAAAACACAAGTTGAATGTGGCTCCTGTCCTCTATCAGTGTTTCAGTGTTTGTGGTGTGAACTTCTATGCAGCCACCATTGTTCTGAGGCTGTTAAATTTATGATGTCTTTATTCTGTTTTGCTCACTGTTCAGTAATCTGGAGCAAAGATGTATCACACTGAGATATGTGTAAGCGATGTGTGAATTTTAGCTGTAGTAGAGATTGGCACAAATGGAAGTGAGTTGGTAGTTCCCTACTGACTACGTGTATGCTGAGCGGATCTCTGATAGTGTAAATGTCTCTTCACAATTCACAAGCTGCCTATCTCCAGCTCCTTTAAACATTGCTGTAAAATGGTGTTTTTTCCTGTACTCTGTGATAGGTTCCTCTTGGAGCTGGGATTGCACTGGCCTGTAAATACTTTGGTAAAAATGAAATCTGCATGGCCTTATATGGGGATGGCGCAGCCAATCAGGTAAATCCGCTTTGTCTGGTGTGGTGTGGTGAGGAGGAGAGGGGCTGTTGGTGATCTGTTTTTGTTCTGTGAACTGTGAACTCTGTCTTTCCACCAAGTAGTGGGGAGCACCTCTTGCCCTCTCTGGGTAATGCTGTCGCCCAGGCAGTATCTGACTTGGAGCTTCTGCTCTGATTGTGTGTTGGGCTTTCTGCTGAGAGTATACTTTACTAGAAAGAGACAACTAATGCATATAAAAGCAATCCTAGAGAGGGAAGGGTATGCAAACCCTTAGTTCTACAGCTCACTGCAGTTTTTCTTAGGGCTTTTGTTGTGAAGTGTTGTGCACTGAGGTAAACTTCATGTAGGTGACCAGGCACCTTGCGTATTTGGTGCCTGAAGGCTGAGCTCCCTGTCCAGATGCAACTTGTTCTTTTCCTTTCAGGGCCAGATATTTGAAACATTTAACATGGCTGCCTTGTGGAAGTTGCCTTGTATTTTTGTCTGTGAGAATAACCGGTATGGAATGGGAACTTCAGTTGAAAGAGCGGCAGCCAGTACCGACTACTATAGAAGAGGGGACTTCATTCCAGGTATCAGGGTGAGTACAGACACTGTTGGTTTTTTTGTGCAGGAGCAAGGGCATGCACAAATGTATGTATTTATTTATACATTAATTTATAAATTTTTTTTAAATACAGGAAAATTTACAACTGAATTCATGTTGTGCTTGTGGAAGTGCTGAAATTGGAAGTTTGGGCTTTGGCATTTTTTTGCCTCAATGTGTAGTTTCTGTTTTCAGGTGGATGGCATGGATGTTCTCTGTGTTCGAGAAGCAACAAAGTTTGCTGCTGAGCACTGCAGATCTGGCAAAGTAAGTCTGTAGTCATTCCTTTTCCATAGGTGAAATTCTTAGCCATATTACTGCTGTATTAAAAAGTTCTTCATTGAGTGACATGCAAGTGGTATCAAACATTTAAAATAGATGTCTTTATCCCGATGCTCTGACATCTTTTTCTGCAGTTCTCCTCCAGTTAAATTTTGTTGTGAAAGGTGTCCTGGCTGTCAGGCAGTTGTTGTCTTTGAAGAGATAAATTAGGGGAAGCATGAAGGAACATACTGGTAATTCCATATTTACACAGATGTAAATCGGCATTAGCAGGTGAATCAGCATTAGTGTCTTGTCACCCAAGTACGATACACCGGGTTTGCAGGGTTTTTAATATTTGGTGAAATAATGCTTGCACTGGGAATGTACAACAGAAAAAGAACAGGGTTTGTGCAGAAGAAAAGGGTTTTGTGAGTTCCAACCTGGCAGTGAAACAATTGGCATTTGGAAATAGTCTGACTAATGGTGGAAGGGCCCTGGGAGGGAAGAAGTTATTTAATGCTGCTCAGTAAGAATCTGAGAATAAAAGTTTACGTTATCAACCTATACTTTCATTTGAAAAGAGTGAAGCTTTATTTTACTAGTTGTGGTAGTACTGTGAAAATTAAATGGAGAAAAACACTGAGTTACAATCATGGTGCATTTCACCTATAGCAAATACTTGCTGCTATAGCCACATAATTGGTCCCTTAAGGTGGTTACATGCTCTGTGCTGGTTTGTTTTTTTACTTTTTAAGGGTCCTATTGTGATGGAGTTACAGACCTACCGTTACCACGGCCATAGTATGAGTGACCCTGGAATAAGGTACTGGCATGTTCTTGGCATTCACTGAAACAACTAAGTAGTGATGGTCAAAATCCTGAAACTCTTAGACTGCATCTTTAAATGTGTTACGAAGCTCATATAAAGGTTATGATGAAACTGCGATAGACAACTCTGAGCACAAAGTCAAACTTTTGCACTTTTTATTAATGAATTCTGCTTTTAGCGTAGTTACAGTGTGTGATTTGGAAGTATGCAGCAAGTCATCTAGCTTAATAATCTAGCATCATCACCCGAGGGGTGATGTGAGGGAGGAAATGTAGCCTCTTGTGGGAATTGCCTCAGGCTGGGATTGCTCTCTTTCCCCTACTTACACTACATTCATTTCTGGAGCTATGGTAGCTCGGTTACCACTTACACATCTAAGGAATGTTCTAGATGTAGCTGTGCCACCCTCTGAGTGATGAGCTTCACTGTATTTTCATTGCGTTCCTGACGATTCTTTGTTCACGCCTTTCTAAGAGTGAGCTGCATCCAGAACCTTGCCTCTGGTCAAGGACACTTCTGAAGCAGTTCATGTCTCTCTTTCTCTTGGTCCTAGCTATCGCACTAGGGAAGAAATCCAAGAAGTGAGAAGCAAAAGTGATCCCATTACTTTGCTGAAGGACAGAATGGTCAACAATAACCTGGCTAGCATTGAAGAATTAAAGGTATGGCCTTTAGTTGCCATATAAGCAAGCTCTGGAGGATTTGAGGTGGTGCTGAGGAAGGCTGTGTGCATGGGAGATCATCTTTCAGTTACAGCTCTTGTTATATGTAAATGTAGAAGTCAAAACTACCGAGCCATTCTCAACTACCTAGGAAGGGGGTAAAAGTCTGAAAGAGAAATTGTCAACAGTGAATAATCCCCATGAAGGAGCCAGGAGTCCTCTAAGTAAATGTTATAAATACCTTCATCAGCTGTGTTTAATAAAACCCCCAAATTGCCTCTGACCCTCTCAGTGGTTTGCAGAATCAGAACAGAAACTGTAGAAGATCAGTGGGGTCATATTCCTCAGGCAGTAAGGTATAGGTACTGTCCAAAAGGCACAAAAAGCTGCAGTTTAGCAGAGAGGGGTTTCTCACAGGTTTTTCATCTATGTTTGTAAACAGCATTAACACTAGTTCTGACCAACACTTCATCATTGTGTTTAAATTCAGAATTAAGGTGCTTTATCTGAACTGCCTTCTAATCAGCATCCATTCTTGGTTTAGGATATTGATGTGGCAGTAAGGAAGGAGATTGAGGAAGCAGCTCAGTTTGCTACCACTGACCCAGAGCCACCACTGGAGGAGCTCTGTCACCACATCTACTTCAATGAGCCACCCTTTGAAGTGCGGGGCCCAAACCAGTGGATAAGCTACAAGTCTACCAGCTAAAGGACTTTATACTGTCATAATTTATTCATAAGTGAATATATTTACAGGAACTTAAATCATGGGATAGCTAGGGTTGGAAATGGTCTCTAGATCATTTTCTTCCAACCCCTCTCCCATGGACACCAAACATTAACCATGTCACCCAAGGCTCTGTCCAACCTGGGCTTGAACACTGCCAGGGGTGGATCATTCAGAGCTTCCTTGGGAAACTCAGACATGGCTCAGAAATAACCCATAAGCTTATTTAAAATCTCTTTCCAATGAGGAAGTGTGTTCCAATCCATCTCAGTTTGGATGTTGTTAAACATGCTGAATGTTGTTTCGGGAGTTAAAGCAGCAGCTTACTGAAATTGCTTTGCATCTGCTTTATCAACTTGTCTTTGGACTTATATACAGTTCAAAAAAAATAAACTTCAACACCGCTCACCTCGTAGTGTGTTTACTTTGTTTCTTGATGAACCATTTTCCTCCCAAGACCTCCAGAAATGCCCTTTAGATGCTATGGGTTTGCTGCAGGAATGTTAATAAAGGAAGACATTGCACCAGGCTTTTCTTAGGAGTTCTGTGAAGGCAGCTTTAATACAAACGTTTTATACTGACATGTGGGAAAAGGTGCCATGAGCTCTGGCACATCCCCTCCCTGCTCCAACCGCCAGAGCTGTAACATGTTAAAGTTCAGAGTTTTCACAATGCTAAAGCCAATTCAAGTGTGTGGTACCCAGTTTGCAGAAAAGGTGAGGTTTTTTTCCTCAGCTAATGCTTTAGGTTACAGTGACAAGCATTTGACTTCTGCATTACTCTGTCAGAAATAATTTAAGTGCACTGACACTGACCTAAAAGCTGTGCTAGTCACTGTGTGTTACACTGAAGGTCAAACAAGCTACATCGCCGTGCAAAACCTGCAAGGCCACTGTACAGCCATGTATATATACATCTAATAATTTAAGTGTAGGGAATGCAGTTTTCATTTGTTTATTCCCATGTCATGTTCTTCTTCTGAGGCATGAACCACCGGTGCAGAGGTCTTGCCAGATGTTTGTCGGTGGTTTAATATTGCATTCCAAATCCTGCAGAGAAGACCACCCCTGTATGAAGGAGAATAGACGGGTGTTATGGTTGAAGCCCAGATGTAAACCAGACCATGCAGTCTCTGTCTTCCCCCTTCCCCTCCCCCACCCCAGCTCCCGGAGGGATGGGGAGGAGAATGTAACTCCCACTGGTGGACATAAGAGCAGTCCAGTAACTAAGATATAACACAAACCACTGCTGCTACCACCAATAATAACAATGATAAGGGAAATAACAAGGGAAGAGAATACAACCACTCACCACCTGCCGACCAGTACCCAGCCCAACCGAGCAGTGATCTAGCCCTTCGGGGTAACTGCCCCCAGTTTACATCCTGGGCATGAGGTGCTTTGATATGTAATGCCCCTTTGGTTAGTTTGGGTCAGGTGTCCAGTCTCTGTTTCCTCCTGGCTTCCCCTCCTTCCTGGCAGAGCATGAGACTCAAAGTCCTTGCTCACAGTGAACATTACTGAGCAGCAACTAAAAACATCAGTGTTATCAGCACTGTTCCCAAGCTTAAAGTCAAAAAAACAGCACTGCGCCAGCTACTAAGGAGGAGAAAAATGACAGCTACTGCTGAACCCAGGACGAGAAGCATTAGGGAGAACTTCCTCATCTTCTTTAACGTTAGCAAGAAGTAAAACCTAGAAATCCCAAGGCTGTACTGGTTATGACACTACATACTTCCCTGACGTGGCAGCTAAATCTCTTCCAGGTCAGCCAGGGGCTGACTGACATAGTGATGATGAAAGGACTTGAGTCAAGGAGCAGGCACAGCAAGTGATGGATGCCTGCTATCCCTTTGATTACATTATCCTGAAGGGTGCAGAAATAACTCCCAACTTTGACAAATGCCCAAACATAGATAGCTTGAAGCACCGGAGGTGCAGGTGTTTCGCTGCATCAGTTCAGATGTGAAAAACATCAACAACAAACCTGTGATGAAATTTGCAGCAGTTGCAACTGACGGGTCACTGATTATTTCAGTAACTGAACTTCTGAAGAAGGTTTTTACAATCTACTTCAATTACAGTCTCACCAGGGAACTAAGAAATACTTCCTTACCGCAGCTGAAGGTAGCGCAGGTCATCCTTAGTGATATCATTAAGGACAGCATTTAGTGTATAATCTTCTTCAGCAAACTAAAAGGCAAATTCATTCCCAAGTTAACGTTCCCTTGTTGAAGCAAACTGCTAATACTGACTACAGTGACCTTTTTTTAAAGGTGTGGGGTTTGGGAGATTATTTGTTGTTTTGTGGGTTTTTTTAATAGCATGTGAGTCTGCTCCTTCTTGTTTTAGCCAGTTCATGAGCTCAGGGTCTGCATTAACTCTCAAAGAATTTTGATAGAGCAATTAATTGTTCTAATTCCCCCATCAGTGGTGATTGCATGTGTCTCAATATTTAAAGTGAGTTGGGAGTAGTGTTGCTGTCTGAAGCAGGAACTACCAGAAATGGAGGACAGAATGGGAATTAATTAGAAGGGGAGGAAGGAAAAAGAGCAAAATGGAGAGAAAGCTTGTTGTGAGAGATGTGGACCTGAGGAAAGGAAGAGTGGAAGAGTGACAAACATTTGGGCAAGAAGATGAGATAGGAGAAGACAGGAAGAAAAATGGGAAATGACTCAAATGAAAACTCAAAAGAAGGAATAATGAGAGAAAAATTATTGTTCCCACTGACCAGTTTCAGATAGAGTGTAGTGTATTTCAAACTGAAGGATGCATCTGAAGAGAAGCTGGTGACTCTGGCTTTAAAGGTGGAAAAGGAACTAAGGCTACATCTGTTCCCTTTGATAATGTAATATTTCAACTCAATCCCAAGACATTGTTGCCAGTCATTCACTCCTGAGGACTTTGATTCACTTGTGTGCTCTCCTTTGGAGCTAACTGATAGCTGCCTCTAGGAAGAAGCCAGGGCATGGCCTTGGAGGATCCATGACCATCATGGATGAGGCTGCGCCACCATCCTCCACAGGCACTCCTCCAAAACAGGGACAGCTCACCATGCCACTACACAGAATCCTTTGCCACCAAGCATGCAGCACAATCCCACTGCACAGTGCCATCGAAATACCATTTGAAAGGGCTACTGTGTTTATTTCAAGCATTTTGAACTAAACAAATACGAACAATAGTTATGATTTAAGGGGCCACTGTATGGTGCCACACAGAAGACCCGGGCAAGCACACCATGGTGTGGATGCCCCCAGAGAGCAAATGAGGCTGCAGCAATGTGATCACAACTTGTTCTGCGCCCGGCAGCCACAGGTCAGTCCTCTACACTGCTGCCTTCTGTGAGTTAGAGCTACGGTGCCATGGGAAGAAGAAAAATCAGGCAGCAACCTCCTAACTCCTGAAGTAAGGTGAGGATTGCTTTCACCTGGGGTGGGCTGGGGTGAGTCCTGAATGCTGGATGTTTCCCTCTATTCTTAATCCAATGGCAGACATCTGTAACAGCAGCTGCAATCCGAAAAAGAACATTTTAGGATCACACCCAGAACAATAGGAAACAATGGGCTTTGGCCAACTGCCCCGCAACACACCCTTGATGCGGTAATACTAAAGTCACCCATGGCAAGGTGCTCCATTATGAAATATTACATAAACATCTTCCATTAAATTATTTTCTATGGTCATTCTCTGCTTCTGATTTGATTATGTTTTCATTGCTTACCTCATGCATGAATTACTTTCTGAGTTAATTTTCTGTGGGGAAACTCAATCATTTCAGGATGTCGGAAGAGGTTTTAATGGAGAAAACACATGAATATTAATGGAATACCATGAAAAGTAAAAAAGATGCAGAGGTAATGTAGATCAATGCTTTACTATATTTCCAGGGAGGAAAAGATGGATCCTTTCCCAACAAAAGTAACTATTTCCTATGACTACTAGAAGTGTAATAAAATATCAATCTGCAAATGAATAATTATAAAAGCTGCTTTGCTTTCTTCTTTCATGTGGAGAAGGAACAGGTAATGACACTGAACTTGAAATAAGCTACACTGCATTCTTTTGTAGCAATAATGATTCTTCCTTTGATCAGGACCATGTCCAAAGTTAACAACTGTTCATAGAACTCTTGAGACCTCTACTTCAACCTTTACTTCAACAGGTAGCTTGGTGAGCAAACTTTGTGTCTCACATACTTTGTTCTTCATTCTCTTGGTCAAAAGGAGATGAACCCATGAATCTCCTATGCAGAATGCAAAAACTACGGAATAAAGTGGTGAATCCTTGATTGACCATGAACTGCAGGGTATTCTGACAGCCTCACCATCCTCCCCAGTGCAAGCACCCCCACCTCTACACCCCTCCCTCCCCGCCCCCACCCCCACCCCCCGTTCCGATCAGAGGCCGGTTTTCAAAATGGTAAAAGAAATATGGATTAATAAGAATAAAAGCTGGGTGCGAAGGAGATATTAGGAGAGGTGAAAATGTTAGATAGAGGTAGTGTAATGGAGGAGAACAAGGAATAGCTTTTTCAAAATGACAGAGAAGAAACAATACTGGGAGCTGGCAGAGAGAAAATAATCTTGGAGATAGCAGGAGTTACCCCATCCCAGGTGCCATCTGTCCTTGCGATAAACTTGAGCAGGCCAGCAGAACACTCCAAGCACTTGTGCTTCACGAGTCACACCAATATAACTGGTGCGTGCATGAACACCATCGGTACAGCGGCAAGCGCGAAGATACCCCGTCGCCCTCCGCCGGCTCTGCCGCCAGCGAAGACCAAGATCTGCGCATGCGCGCCGCAAGCAAACAGCGAGGGAGCGAGCGTGGGCGGTGCCTTCGAGGAGCGCGGGGCAGGGCGGGCGGCTGAATAAGATTCCATGACGGTGGACAGCGTTCAAACAGCGCTGCGCGTCCTCTCTCCATGCTCAAGATGCTATCAGCGATATTGTCCCGCGTGCTGCAGCGTCCGGCCGCTGCTGCCGCCGTCGGAAAAACGGCGAGTTCGACCATTACTTGGCCCCCCGGAACGTGGGAGGCCAACGGCCTCA